AAGAGACAGCCCGGCAGGTCCACCTGAGGGTGCACAGCGGGGAGCGGCCCTTCCTGTGCCCCATCTGCAAGAAGAGCTTCACGCAGCGGGCACACCTGCAGAAGCACGGGTTGGTGCACACCGGTGAGGGTGCAGGATCTGGCCGTGCCGTGCCCCGAGCCGTGCCGTGCCCCACGTTGCAGGATGAGTCAGGCGGGCAGCAGGGCTGAGCCGAGTCAGCAAATGCAGCAAACAAACAAGCTCAAAAAGCAACAGGGAAGCTGCTCCACGGGGGGAAAGGGCCTGGATGGGACTGTGACCGGGGCTGGGGCAGCCGTGGGGTTCACAGGGGGAGGTGGGGACCTGAGCAGCATCTTCCCTTGGCCCTTCCCTACTGCTGCTTGGCCAAGGTGGGGTGGCTCCGTCCACCCAGCAGCCCCATCAGCACCAGAAAACGAGCTGCACTAATCACCCGGTGCTTGCACCCTGATCCAAAACCCTCAGCTCCCGCACCCTGGTGCTGGGTGCCGCAGAGTGGGCATTGCTGTGGTCCCTGGGGCGCAGGGCAGGGGACAGGGACACCCCCACTCCGCCGTGGCTGACGGGGATGCCAGCGGAGGCGTCGCTGTGCCGTGGCTGCGGCCCTGCCCCAGAAGGGTTTTATTGCTGGGTTTGGGTTTGGGAAGCAGCTGACGCAGCAGGTGCCGGGAGGGAGCCAGAAGTGTGCCGGCATCTTGGCATCTCCCAGTTAAGGAGTTGTTCGGTGTCACCACCCGGCTATGGGGACAGCGGAAGAGACAGGGCTTTGGGCTCAGCCCAAGGACAGGCTGAGCTTAGGGTTTCCCAGTCAGGGAATGGGGACACCTCCCTGCACAGCCCCCAGGGTTGATTTCCCTGGGGGACACCTTGGGAGAGGGCCTCATCCTGCACCCACTGGAGCTCTGTCAGCTGCAGGTTGGGCTTTACGGGGAATCGGGGAGGCCGAGGGCAGGAAGAGAAGCACCGAGTGCAGGCAGCTGCCTGCCCCTTCTGCCAGCCCGCCACGCGCCCTCCACGTCTCGCTCTCCCTGGCCTGGCAGGTCTTTCCGGTACAGATAGGAAGAGTTGGTGTCATTTTCCAGGAGGCGATGAGACCTCGTCTGGGACAGCCAGCGCCGCTCGAGGCTGGGACCAGCCTGGGTGGGGCCGCACATCTGCATGGGCAAAGCCACAGCTGCATTGGCAAAGCCACAGCTGGGTGCCCAGGGTCACAGCTGGGTGCCCAGGGTCACATCTGGGTGTCCGGGGTCACATCTGGGTGCCCAGGGTCACAGATGGGTGACCAGGGTCACAGATGGGTGCCTGGGGTCACATCTGGGTGCCCAGGGTCACAGATGGGTGACCAGGGTCACATCTGGGTACCCGGGGTCACAGCACCCATCCGTGGAAGAGCGATGGGTGCGCTCAGCAGTGTGGAGGAAAAGCTGCTTAAATGTGCTGGGGACAAAACGGGTGTCAGAGCAAAAGGCCAAGAGCAGGATGGGGCTGGAGGGACCCACAGTGCCCCAGGGGCTCTGTGGTGGCACACGGGGACCCCCGTGCCAGGGAAGCTCCTGCCAAAGGTGACGGTGCCAGGGCAGGGTGGTTTGTGCAGGGACGTGGCCCCTCTCTGCTCTGCAGTATTGTCCCGCCGGAGCTGGAGCCGGAGCTGCCTGGGTGCACCCTGGACTTGCTTCAGCGCGAGTTTCTCAAGCGCTCGCTGGCAGTGCCCATCCTCGCCGTGCCCGTGGCCCCGGGGTGGCACCGGGACAGGGACGCCGGCTCCGTGCAGCACTGGGGTGCTGGGGGGAGGCGGGAGCTGCTGACTCAGCATCACGGCTGCCTCCTGCCTGGAGCCGAATTTCCAAAGATCTCCAGGTCTGTCTTTCCCATCCCATCCCTGCAGCTGGATCCGGCACCCGGTGCCACCCTGGGCTGCCCGGTGCCCCACCTGCCCTGGGAAGGGAGCTCACCCCGGAGCCCTGCTCTGCCCCAGCACCCCATTTTTTTCTAAAATATTTCCTACTGCAATGCTGAGTCAAGGACAGAAGGACGTGAGGAGACAAGGGCACAAGGACACAAGGATAAGGCCCTGCAGCTCCTGCGGCCATCCCTGCCTGAGCGGGGGAATTGCCACACCAGGACACCCGGCACGGCTAATTAATCCCCCAGCTCAGCTAATTAATCCCCCCGGCCAAGCCAAGCCAACCCGCCCAGCTTATTTGCTGCCTCCCATCATCCCAAAGGGTCTCCCAGCACCCAGCCCAGGTCTCCCAGCACCCAAGTAAAAGGCACAAGGTGCCGTTTCATATTCAGAAAAAAACAGAGGGGCCACGGGCAGTGGCTGCGGCTGCCTTTGAGCCGGTGACCACGGATTAAGCCGAGCCTCCAGCCACGTCGGGCTGAGCCCCATCGCCGCGGGGTGCGAGCGGACCTGCCACCTTCAGGAAAATCAGGGATTCGGTTTGGGTGGCTGCTGCGCTGCTGGGGTTCATAAGGAGGGCACGGGAACTGCCGTCTCCCATCGCTGCCCCTGCCTCCCCCCGCCACGCCGAGCCGTGCCACAGGCGTGCCTGGGGGGGGAGGAGGGGGACAGGGGTGATGGGGCAGCCCCACTGTCCCCCCAACCCAGGCCATGAGGCTACCAGAGGTGGAGGAGCCCCAGCTCGGTCCAGTGGCTCTGGGGATGCACTTTGATGGCAGAAACGGGGTTACGACCCTAGCAGCCCCCCCCGACTTGGGGACTGAAGGTGAGAGGGGCAGAGATGGGCTCAGCCCCCACCTCCCAGCCCTGTTTCCCCCTCCCTGGCCAGTGACGATCCTGGGGGAGCAGGGACCCATCCCAGCACCTGCCAAGCTGCGACACGGATCCAAGCACTGGGCAGCCCCTGTGGGGTGGCAGCCAGGACGGGAGCAGCGGTGTCCTCCGGCTCCCATCACCATGAATCCTCCCTCCCTGCCAGCACCCGCACAAGTCCTGTGCCTGGGGGCCCCCCACCCAACACCCAACACCCCCATGTACCTGGTGGCCAAGGGTCCCACCGTGCTGGCCGGGTGGCGAGCGGGGTGCCGTGCCGTGCCGTGCCGAGCGGGATTGGGGGTGCTGCTCCCTGCACGCCACGGCTGGGCGGACCGGCAGAGTCACCCGCCGAGCACCCAGCCCTCGCCGAGCACCCAGCCCTGAGCACCCAGCCCTGGCGCAGTGGAGGTTTGGCATTCCTCAGGTGCTGACAGCCGGGGAGCCGGTCAGGCTGGTTCCCCGGCACCCAACTCCTCCATTTCCTCCGACTCAGCAGCGCCAGGAGGGAGCCTGGCCGGCCTGGAGGCGGGGGGCTCTGGGCCCCCCCAGACCCCTGCCCAGTTGCCCCCTCCCTGCCACCCATCTCGGTGAGGGCGATGGTAACCTCAGAGGGGATCGCAGTGACCAGTTTTGTCACTGCCCCTCCAGCCGGCCGCCGCGGGGCTGGAGAGGTCCCCACACACGGCGGTGAAGGGCTGGGGGTCCCAGGGCTGTGATTACACCCGCATTAATCAGCTACATGGGGGTCCCAAGTGGAGCCCCCAGCACATTCCCAGGAGGGTCCTAATGCTGGGAGCTCTCCCGGGTCTCGGAGGGGCTTAGAGATGGATGGAGGGTCACAATAGCCCTTGGGCCACTGCGGGAGACCTGACCCCGGGGTGCAGGGCCCCTCCTGGCAGGGCTCGGAGCGAGAGCACCCGCCCTGTATCCTCACCCTGCCCTCCTGCTCCTCCCCAGCACCCGCGGGTGCCCTGCCATGGTGCCAGCCTCGCCCCAGGGCCACCACTCCCGGCTGCCGGCCCAGCCCAGGAGCCTCCTCAGCCACCACCAGCGCGGTGCAAGTGGCTGCGATTTGACTCCGATTAGGGCGCTTGGGGCCACCCAGCTCTGGGTGCCACCTCTCACCCGCTGGGGAAACTGAGGCAGAGCCCCACTCCCTCTGCACCTCAGGCAGCAGGTCCAGGGTCCGGCCGGGGTCGGGGCGCTGGCGGCTCGGCCGTCCTCCCCCCGATGCCGAGCCGGTTGTGCCGTCCCGGAGAAGCGCCGGGGGCTGGAGCGGGTCGGCCGGACTCTGCCCTGAGCCGGTGGGACGCGGTTGTGGGACCCCCCGGGAGGAGCCGCTCACCACTGAGAACTCCCGTGGGGACCGTGACCCCGTCCCCGCCTGGAGAAGGGTCTGAAGCCCCCCGTGCTGGTTGGTGTTGGGGGGATCAGCCTGTTGACCCCCAGAGTCATGGCAGGGGGGGCTCCAGGAAGCTCCAGACCTTTGGCCCACGGGCCATGGTGGCCAGTCACGGGTGGCCAGTCAGCTAAGCCGTGTGGCCACTGGAACAAGAGGAAGTGGCTCCATCCTGTGTCCCATTCCCCTTCCAAGGGACACCCGTGTTGGTGGCCTGGGGACCCCGGCGACCCTCTCGCCCCTCCTGGGGGGGGCTGCACGGCGCTGGGGCTGGGCCCTGCCGAGGGCGGGTGAGCTGCAGATGCAGAATTTTTTTTATTGAATAAAATCACAGAGGGATGCCACCCCCCGGCCCCAACCTCGGCTGCAGGTGAGGACAGCTGGGGCCGTTGTGTCCTTGGGGTGTCAGCGGGGTGCTCGGGGTGACGGCAGGATTGGGGGAGCACCACCCAGAGGGGTCAGAGATGGAAATGCCCACCCTGGTGTGGCACCCCCGGGCAGAGTCCCGGGGAGGGTTTGGTGGTGGCACCGAGCTGAGGAAAGCAGAGATGGGTAGAGCTGTGTCCCCATGAGTGCCATGGCGGTGACGCGCTGGGATCTTGGGGTGCACCTGCAATAGGGGGGGCCTGAGAAAGCTATATCCGTGGAAAAGGGGGTTTGTTGTACCCCAGGTGCAGCTCATGCTGCAGGGTGGGGACATGGGCATGGCCTGGGATGTGGGGCTGGTGGGGGGACACATTCTCCCCGAGGGCTTTAGGGACAGGGGACTGGTTGGCGCTTTGGGGGGACCCTCCTCCATCCTTGTCCCCGAGGCTGGGGCAGCGCTGATAGAGCTGGGGGGTTGCAGTGGATGATGGTGGTGGCTCCTCCTGGCCCTGAGGGTCCGGGGCTGGAGGGGGCAGCCCCTACCCGTGCAGCCCCCAGAGCCGTCCCAGCTCAGACAGGCCCCTCCGGGGGACATTGCTGCTACCTGGGGACACTGTGGCAGGTCCCCAGACCCACCCCTGCCCACCCGGACAGCCCCTTCCCCAAATCCCCCAGCATGAAGCCTTGGAGCAGCACCATAGCCCGGCCAGGCCGGCTCCCTCCTTCCTCCTCCTCCTCCTCCTCCTCCTCCTTCTGCACCAGCCCCCCAGCACCCAGGCTGGAGCACCCACCGGCTGGGGTGAGGTGGCCGTGGGGGACCAAGGGGCTGGGGGTGGGCGCCAGCGCTGGTGCAGGCACCGGTGGAGCTGGAGGTGGATGCGCTGGGTGAAGCGGCCGCAGCACTGGTGGCACTGGAAAGGTTTCTCCCCCAAGTGCAGCCACAGGTGGGTCTTCAGGTTGCTGCTGCTGCTGAAACGCTTGTGGCACGTCTGCGGGGGCGAGAGGATATGGGGGGGCCTCGGAGTGGGTGCTGCACCCCGGTTCGGGACAACCCCCCGCACCTTCCCGGCACCCAGCGGG